CTAAAAAAAAAAAAAAAAGAAAAGAAACTCTGATTATGTAGGTTGAAAGTGGAGCCTGTGTTTTTACAAAGCTCCACAGAAGATTCTGATTATGTACCCGAGGTCGAGAGCCACAGAGGACAGAAGCTCTGCTCTTAGAAATAACCCCTCCCTCCAGCCACATTATAGTGGGTCCTGCTACCCAAAGAGTGGTCTATCCACCGGAAGCATCAGCATCAACTGGGAGCTTGTTAGAAATACACAACCCAAGGCCCCACCCCAGGCCTACTACACCAGCATCTTCCTTTAAACAAGAACCCCACATGATTCAATGCACACTGCGATTAAGAACTGGTCTAGGACACATACCTGCTAGTCTTTCTATTGTGATCATCAGTTGGTACCAACTAAAAATTTTTGCAACCTCTTCTCATTAGGACTAAATAAGAAAATACATCCATAAATAGATTAAAAAATACATGTATAGTCATATACTAATAAACCAGTAGTGATGGTGATATACTGTATTCTTACCAATTGCAGTGATCTGAACTCGTTCACTACCACTCACTGTGTTGGGAGGAAATGAGAAACTCAAAGTTTTCAGGGGAGTTTGTAACTTGTTGTCAGTCAAGTCTAGCAAGATGGATTGTGAATACGATTTTTCTATTCCTTCAGCCTGTTGGAAAAAAAGGAACACAATTAACATCATCTCCACTCATCTGTTTACAGAGAACTTTATGCAAATAATAAGATAAACATCTTGCCTGCTGTGTCCGCAGTATGTGTACAATTAGACAAATACCTGTTTTTGATTCCTGCTTCAAATCTGTTAATAAATGTTTACTTTCTAGTTAAAATAAACAAAACATTTCATGAAATGGCAATTGAAATGACAAAGGAGAAGATGCAAAGGTGATGAAAAAAACCCTCTGAGGTAAATCATATTATTATCCAAATAGAGATTAAATACCTTGTCCAAAGTCACACTTGACAGAGCTGGGATTTGAACCTAGGGCTGTCTCCCCCCAGAAAAGTGTTTATCCACTAGACTGAGCTGTCTTTTTCTGCATAATACCTTCTCTAAAAAAAAAAAATCTACAAAATCTCTTCTAACCATATTGAGGAATTCCAAAATTCAAAATCTACATATCAATTTGGCATGATTTAACAGGACCCCAATGTAACAGTTGCTAAATGTAATTGACGGCAAAAGAGATTTGCTATATAGGCATACCATAAACTTAAAGAGGAAATTGGCAATTACTTCCAAAACATATATCTCTACATACAGATGAGAAAACAATTAGACAATACCAGGAGGATGGAAGAGATGACCTACTAGATCTTGCCAACAAATTTAACCAAGAGAAAAACCATCTTCTGTTTCATTTCAATTATGTATTTCTGTTTCACTTATTCAAGACTTCAAATATTTACCTTTACTAAAATCCTCTGGGTGACAGCATCAGAAGCAGCAGGTGAAATGGCTGTGACTGGGATAGGAATTTCCCCCAGATGTGTGGGCTTGACCGGGAAAAGAACAGTTGCCCCATCCTCACTGGGGACCAGAATGGTCTGCTGGTGTCCTGTGGCATTTATTTCATTTGAAGCCATTAGAATATCAAATTTGTCACTTTTCTCAATGATTACTTTAACCTGGAAGGAAAATTATCAAAAGTTTTATATAATAAATGCTCCTCAGGAAAGTGTTGCTTTATTACCATGTTAAGTACTGTTAAATCTGTGAGGTGCAAGACTAGAGAGAGGAGAGAGAGATGCAGCCAAGGACAGGATGAGAGCGTTATCAGGGAAAACTTCATTTCTCTATGCTCTCCTCCTCCACTCCTTACCAACCGCAAGAAGCACAGAATGCCAATGAGAAGAAGCAACACCTTCTAGATGCAAGGAGGACTAGGAAAAAGTACAGGCAGGCAGGAAAGAGAAAGACCTGCCTCAGAGACAGCAAGGAAGTCATGCGCCTAAAGCAGAAAACCTGTGCTGGAAATGAAGAGAATATATAGACGCTAATACTATCCTTAGACATTAATAAGTAGAAGAAATCTATGTTTATTTTCAGTCTCTCAGAAATGTATAAAATGTTTAGATTCCCAGATACCCAAACATTAACAACCCAATCCCTGTGCATTTTCTCCATTCTTTCCTGAAGTGTGAATGATTAACAAAACCTTTAATATATTACCTCAGTGGCATCTTTCAAATAATTGAATATGGTTACTTCCAAAGCAAATTCTTCACCTCTGATAACAGAGTAGGGAAGATTCAAAAAAATGAAAAATGGTTGGAAGGCTTGTAGCTGGAAAGAACACAATGAATACATATTTTATTCAAGTCAAAATGCTTCACATTTCATGTTAATTAAAAGCACATCTCACAAAACCTGTGAAGCTTCTAATTCCACATAGAAATGTCCACTTGCCTATCAAAGGAAAACAAACAGCCAACTTAGCCCAAGTCAATGATGATAAATTGATGTGCTTTATGTTATTTAACTACATTTCATTAAGTGCCTACTAGGATCCAGGGACTTGTTTTTTTATCATTTTATTTTATTTTATTTTCATCATGATACGTGTAACTCTTTAATCCCCATCCCCTATTTCCCCCATCCCCCCACCCATCTCCCCTTTGGTAACCATCTGTTTGTTCTATAGTTAAGAGACTGTTTCTGGGGCACCTGGGTGGCTCAGTCGTTAAGCGTCTGCCTTCGGCCCAGGTCATAATCCCAGGGTCCTGGGATCGAGCCCCACACCGGGTTCCCTGGTCTGTGGGAAGCCTGCTTCTCCCTCTCCCACTCCCCCTGCTTGTGTTCCTGCTCTCGCTATCTCTCTCTCTGTCAAATAAATAATAAATAAATCTTAAAAAAAAAAAAAAAGAGAGACTGTTTCTTGGTTGTCTTTTTTTTTCCTTTGTTCATTTGTTTTGTCTCTTACATTCCACATATGAGTGAGATCATATGGTATTTGTCTTTTCTCTGACCAACTTATTTTGCTTTAGCATTATACTCTCTAGCTCTATCCATGTTTTTGCAATGGCAAGATATCATTCTTTTTATGGCTGAATAATATTCCACATTATTATTATGTATATACCACATCTCCTTTATCCATTCATCTATTGGTGGACACTTGGGCTGCTTCCATAGTTTGGCTATTGTTGATAATGCTACATGAGGGTGCATGTATCCCTTTGATTTAGTGTTTTTGTATTTTGGGGTAAATATCCAGTAATGTGATTCCTAGATCATATGGTAGCTCTATTTTTAGTCTTTTGAGGAAACTCCATACTGTTTTCCACAGTGGCTACACCAATTTTCATTCCCACCAACAGTGCAAGAGCGTTCCTTTTCCTCCACATCCTCGCCAAGACTTGTTGTTTCTTGTGTTTTTTATTTTAGCCATTCTGACAGGTGTGAGATGATATCTCATTGCGGTTTTGATTTGCATTTCCCTGATGATCTGTGATGTTGGGCATCTTTTCATGTGTCTGTTGGCTATCTGTATGTCTTCTTGGGAGAAATGTCTGTTCATGTCTTCTGCCCATTTTTTTAATTGGATTATTTGATTTTGGGGTACAGAGTTTATCAGTTCTTTATAGATTTTGGATACTAAACCTTTATCGGATATTTTATTTGCAAATCTCTTCTCCCATTCAGTGGGTTGCCTTTTAGTTTTGTTGATTGTTTCCTTCACTGTGCAGAAACTTTTTACTTTGATGTAGTCCCAACAGTTTATAGGTACTTTACACAAATTATTTCATTTAATCCATACAACTCCTCTGAGGCAGGTTCTATGTTCATATTTTACAGAAAAGAAATCTGAAGTTCAGAGATCTCTGTAACTAGTACAAGGTCACATCACTAGTAAATGAAGGAACCAGAAAAGGACCCCAGCATGTCTGATGCCAAAGCCAAGCTCCTCACCTACTACACTATTATGACTCCAGCCATCTGCTTTAAAAGCCACTGGCCAAATCCAACAGGCCCTGTTTGAGACTTAAGTCTAGATGGAAAGTCTAGATAATGTTCTGCTTACTACCTTCTAACATATATATGCGCATGTACTTTCTCATTGGTGACCCAATTCTGAGATTGTTGGCCAAATCCTACAGGGAAGCTGAACGGCTACCCGGCCTCTGAAAATAAATCTTTCTTAGTTTAGGCAAATGGTTGTCACTGGCAGCAATAATTCCCCCTAGAGGTTTACTTGGACATTTGTGGCAGTGTCTTAGATTGTCACAATGACTGAAGGGTAGTGGGTGAAAGTCTGTGATGCTCAGGACAGTCCCAGACAATGAAAAATTGTCCCAAATCCCTCATGATTCTTGAATGTCTCTTCAGACATTCCCGTAAAGTACCTGCTTATAATGACCTGAACTAACAACCTAATTCCAACTTATATATAAACCCAAAGCATTTTTCAATACACAGTAAATTTTTCACAAATACAACTATTTTGGGGCGCCTGGGTGGCTCAGTTGGTTAAGCGACTGCCTTCGGCTCAGGTCATGATCCTGGAGTCCC